CAAGTGGACTCCTTGGCGGAAATTGTCCTCCAGAATCGCCGAGGTCTCGATCTCCTGTTCATGAAAAAAGGTGGGCTGTGTGCAGCTTTAGGAGAACAGTGCTGTTATTATGTCAATAAATCAGGAGTTATTTGAGACACCCTGGCTACAGTGAACAAACATTTGCAAGAAAAATATGACAGATTAGGAGAAAATTCTGGGTGGTATCAGTCTTTGTTTAACTGGTCTCCCTGGTTGACTACCCTTGTTTCTGCCCTTGCTGGACCCCTGTTAATCCTGTTACTAGCTTTGACTTTCAGCCCATGCATTATTAATAAACTTATGGCCTATGTAAGGGCCCGGGTAGGATCTGTTCACCTAATGACTCTAAACCAACAGGCTAGGTATTGTCCAGTACCTCTTGATGAAGAAAGCCACGCATAAAATTACTTGCTTGCATAAAATCAGTACAGAATGTAAGACCAAGATGAGACTTAGCACAAGTAATGCCATCTTATTACAGGCCCTCCATCTTGTCCCTGTGGGTTTCGGGTTCACTATAGGACACAGAGTTCCCAGGATGTACCTGTTTATCTATTAAAACACCAGGAATGTACCATTGTTTCTGTGTAAGGAACATCCTGTTTGTTAAGTAAAGAACATCTCCAACCCCCCCCCCAACAGTCCCCTAACTGCAAAAATTCTGCTTCTGTAGTTCTGCTTGCTAAGCACCCCTGCAGCCCCTATAAAACCTTCCAACTCCCTGAACTCGGGGCCCTCTCTAAGCCTGTTACTTGGAGAATGCCATCTGGCCAGACTAATAAAGGTCTGTTTTACTTTTCCAACTTGTCAGGTGTGTTCCTTCCTGGTTGCTGTTCACTGAAGTCAGCTCCTCGGAGTGTTTGGTAAGGCCCTCAGTCTTACAGTTCACTGCTCAGTTTTTATCTTGCTTTAGGCTAATTATTCTTTTCTACTCCCTGTGACTCCTTTTAGAATAAGAATATTTATCCCATCCCTGTCTTAGCATTGTGTCTTAGAAATTAATAACTTTTTTTTCTATTTATAAGATCACAGCTGAAAGGAATTTGTCCTGAATCTCATACTAGACATTGGACTCCAGCTAATTTTGAGCTAATGCTGGAATAAGTTAAGATTTTAGAACTACTAGCATGGCACAAATGTGTTTTGCATTGTGAGGAAGGCATGAACTTTGGGGAGAAGAGGTAGAAAGCTATGTTCAACATGGTTTGTGTGGTGAACCCTGAAATGTATTGCTGAAAGCTTGGTCCTCACTGCAGTGATATTGGGGAGAGTTAGAAACTCTGAGCGGGCCCTTTCAGAAGGCAGTTAAGTTTGTAGGTGCACCACCCCAAGAAGGGCATAATTTAGTACTTTCCCCTCTGTGCTCTCAGCTCCAGCCACTATCTCAGTCATTGTGTTTCTGCAGCACTAGGCTCCTGTCTTTTATGCAGACATCTCTAATCTCCTCTGACCTCTGGTTTTCTACTTGCTCTTCCTTGAGCTATATACTCTTTTCTCAAAAATCTCTGTAACTTCCTGAGTCTTTTCTCAAACAGTATTTTATCAGAGAAACTTAATTGTTCTATCCTAAAAAGTAGAAACATCTGTCTCCCTTGCATTTCCTGCTCCTTTATCCAGCCTCATTGTTCTTCATAACACTTAACAAAACATGACACATCCTGTATTAACTTGCTTATTGATTTCTTCCTCCTCACTCCACTACAAGAGTGTAAGATCCTATCTTTTTTGTTTTGTTTTGTTCACTAATCTTATCTCCAGCCAACATTTTAAGAAGTACATGGAATATATTAGGAGCTTACATAACATTTTTGAATAAATGAGTGGGTGGAGGGATAAGTCAATGAAAAATTTTCTCTTATACAAGGTGTGATCAAAATATACGGTGAATGTCTAAATGAAAATGTGTTATAGTAAAAGACATTGCCATTGATCCTCCTTGAAATATTCCCTCATGTTTAGAACACACTTATTCCATTCTTCTTGCCTTTTTCTGAAGCAATTTTAGCAATCCTTTCAAGAGTGTTTTTAGTTGCACCATCGTGGCTGTCTCAATGTCCCAAATTGATTCAAAACATTTACTTTTCATGGTCATTTTCCACTAGAAGAAGAGCCAGAAGTTACATGGTGCCAGATGTGGTGAATAAAGTAGTTGAGGACCCACCATAATGTTTTCATGAGGCTGAATTTCCATGAAGTGGCACTCAGCAGCAGCATTCACCCAATTTTGATCACATCTCATAAAGATACTCACAAATGAGGGCTTCCAAAACTGCTTCAGAAAGCAGCATGAAAGATGGGATAAGTGTGTTCAATGTAAAGAGAGCCTTTTGAGGATGAATAGTGGCAATGTGTCACTATAATAAATATTTGTTTAATTTAAACATTCACTATATCTTGATCCCACATTTATATAGTCACAAATTAAATCAACAAAATGAGTTATTAGAAGCTTGATGTGTTTAGACCTGACAGAATTCCAGAGAGGCCTGCCCAACAACAAGGAGGCAGAGGCATCTGACAGGCTGATCATCCTGGGATTTGTATATCAGACTGAGTGTTTTAAATTTTATTTTAAGGAAATAGCAAGACATTAAAGAGTTAAGCAAAGGAATAACTTGATCTCATTAATATCCCAGGGATGCCACTTTTTCTGCTGAGTAAAATATAGCATTAAAAAGGAGCAAGGGAAGAAAAGAATATCAATAAAGTCATTGATATAGACTGGATGAGACACGATGCTCTCTTGGACAAGAGTGGTATCCATTGGAGATGGAGAATAAAGATAGACTTGGAATCTCCTTTGAAAGTAGACACAAGACACACTGTGAAAGTTAATGGTAATGGTCAGCCTGCCTGGACTGAGAGATGCCTATCATATAAATAGAGCACACTTCTGATTGTGTCTGAGGGAGTGTCCAGAGGTTATGGGCATGTGGTCCAGCAAGCTGAGGGTGAAGCTCAGCCCTCATGAGAGTGGTACGTTGTAGGGAACAGGGAAAGGGGACATTGCTAGAACCTCTGCAGTAAGTCCTAGTCTCCTGTGAGCCACAACAGCACAAGGTGAATTACAGGAAAGGTAGAAAAATGAGACTGAGAAGAAGCTGAGCTTTGGGTCTGATCAGTGCTGCACTGGGTGGCAAAGACAAAAGCCCCCAGCTTACCGCACCTTTTATTCAGTACTCAGTCCATCAGGAGAAATAAATGTAACAAATGATTTTCAGAGAGTCCAGTACATCCGTGTAAATAAGATGGTAACAGTCCAAGAACGATGCGGAACTGAGTAGATGTTTGTTCCTCCCGGGATGTTTTCAGCTCCCAGGATGTTTCTTGTCCTGGAGAATCACAGCATCATGGGATCATTGAATTCTGTTGTTATCAGAGGCCAAAATGGAGTTATGTCTCAGAATTCCATGGCTGGGCTGTAGACAGGAGAACTAGGCTAACCGAATGATTTTACCCTAAAATTATGTAGCATTGCTCCAACTTATCTCCCTTTCTTTTTGTTTTATGTGAAGTTGTTTTAGGAAAAGCAAGCACACCCAACAATGGCTTGTCCCTGCATATTTTGAGGATCTATAGTGTGTTTGACTGGCTTAGCTGTCTATAATAAGCATAATTTCTCTTAATTGGGGCTGTAAAAGGATTAAAAATCTAATAATTTGTTTTAAACATTGTTGGCTAAAAAACTTAAAACTTTTGTTGAACTCAAATAAATATTGTCTTCAGTTATACTTTTCTACTGGGTGTTTAAGACCAAGTTACAGTGAGACCTATAGTAAATAAAATCAACCTCTTGCTCTCTAACAAGGTCAATTAAGT